CTTACCCTCGATTTCTAAATTTAACACTGAGTTTCCTATATATTCTTCTGATCATCTTTTCACACACCCAAACCATACAAGCTTGGATTTCCTCAGCTATTCTATAATTGGTACTACCTTCACACTTCTTCTACTTCATTCATTCCAAACATAGTCCATCCTTGCAACTTCAAGCATCCATCTTAACAGTTTCTTTTCTACTATATTCCAGATCTGCTCCTGTCTCTTCCTCAGTGCCCAGTGTTTGGAGCCATACAAAAGGGCAGTCCTAATTACCATCTTACAAATCTTCAGTTATTTTTCAATTTGATAGGCGTTTTCCTATTTCAGATCATTCTGCTCACTTCTCTCCATTTAGTCCATCCCTTTCCAGTGTTGCTTGTAAGTTTGTCATTGAGTTTACCTTCATCCTGTACTATTGAATCTAAATACTTGAACTTCTGTACCTTTGGTAGTGGTTCCCCCTTCCCCCCGCCATACTTACACTCATTGCCTTCCTGCAAATATACTTCAAATGTACAGGCCATATTTCTGCTGATTTTTTTCATGCCATTTCTTTTAAGTACACACAATTCTATCTCTCTCAATCTTTTTTGCTCTCTCCCATGAACACTACATCATCTGCACAAAGCATGCACCAGGAAGCCACTCTGAATGTTTTCTGTAAGTCCATCAAGCACCAACATGAACAAAAAGGGGCTGAGCCTTGATGTATTCCAACTTTACTAGAATCTGTTCAGTTTCTCCACAGGGCCTTTTAATTGGTAACAGCACCCTTGTACACGTCCTGGACAAGTCTGATGTAGTCTTCGGGTATCCGTTTCAATCTCATACAGATCTGAGAGCTGACTTCTCTCAGAACATTGTCTTAAGCCTTCTCAAGATCGATGAATACCATCTGCAGAGTTTTTCTCTTTTCTCTATATTTTTCCACAGGCAGTCTTAATGCAAAAGTAGCATCCATTGTTGACTTGCCTGGCATGACTCCAGCCTGATAGTCACTGACCTTTACTTCTCTTCATAGTCTCTTATCCTAACTTTTCCCCATATCTTCATTGTGTGCATCATAAGTTTAACGCTGTCATAGTTGCCACGGTCTTTTATGTCTCTCTTTCTCTTAAATATTGGTACTAGTGTGCTCTTTCTCCAGGCATCAAGCAGCTTCAGTCCTCATGATGAAATTAAACAGTTGTGTCAATATGTTCATGTCTACTTGCCCCAGGGGCTTCCATACTTCTGCTGGTGTGCGGTTGGGGCTGAGATCTTTCTTTTTCATGTTCCTCAATACTTCTGCAACTTCTTCTAGGACTGATGCCACCAGGCCCTGGGTTGGTTTTATATATGGCTTAGTTACTTTGGATTCTTTTCATTCATGAGCCTTGCAAAGTAATTTCTTCACTGTTCCTTAATCTGGTTCTCATTGATTAACGTATTTCCACTTCCATCTTTTAATGACTTTGAAATGAAGGAGGGTGAGAGAGAAATATATAGACTGGCAAAGACTCACGATAAGAGAACTAAAGACATTGTTGAGATCAGTCTGGATACTAATACTTTACTAGAATATTCCATCTGAGAATAACAAAGACCCCAAACCATTAATTAACCTCAGAATATCCTCTGTATCCTAGGAAAAGAAGGGACGTTGTGTACATCTCACTTCACCCTCTACTAAAAAGCATTCAGGCCTTTGGTGGAACACAGCTGTTTAACAGTACACAGCAACATTACACCTGATCTTACAGGAAGAAAAAAAAAAGAAACTGCAGAAGCAATTTAAGCAGGCACAATGGAATTATGTGAATAGGAAATTGGCCAGGGCAGCGAAGGTAGCACTCTTCTCCCTTATGGAAAAATATGATGGGACCTGCATTAAGCTACGAGAGGTCAGGACCTCAGCTTTACATATTTTTTCCAAAGACAGAACCTTCAACTGCACACAGTGCCTCTTAGGGGCCAGCGTGGGTAACAGGTTCAGTAACAGGGATAACTGTGCCTCATACCAACTTCCATCTGAGGGTCTCCAGGGTGTTACAAACCATACATTAGGCATCTAAAGACCCTTATGATAATAGGAAGTATTAGTCTTAACCCCATTTTTTATAGATGGGGGGAAAACTGATGCACAGAAGTGACCTAACTTGCCCAAGGTCAGACAGGAAGCCCTAGGGTAGGCTTTTGACCACAGTCTTTTCTTCCTCCCAGTACTGAGAAAATGCCACCTACTGAACCACAGCACAATTTCCTATAGCAATTAAGCATTTATTTAAAGGTCTCTTATTCAAATATTGACTTGTCCTTACCCTCCTTACCTTGTTACTATCTATGAGAAGCCCAGAGCAGCACAGCTGGAGATCATAGACAATTGTTTTAAGGATAGGAGGGTATGGACAATTTGAATCTTTCTACTATATGCTTTCTCTTTACTGTAGTGTAGATTCAGACACTGTATGCTCTCTGTTTAGAACAACCTGGCAAAATTCCCCTTGCTGCAGGTGAATTAAAATACCATTCAGGTTTTTCTTTATTATCAATTAGCATGGTAAAAAGTGGTCAAATAGATTTTTGCATGAATTACTAAATTTTCAAGACCCTTCTTTTCAAGGCTGCTTTAGGATCAATTTATGCTCTCTCACTTCCTTCTCAAGGCCCTTGCTGTTCCTACAGAGAAAAACAGTTCAACAAAATGCACCAAGTCAAAGAGTCCTGTGGCTGGTGAAGGCCTGTCTCTAATATTTGTTTCGTATGAGCTTGATTGCAGAATATTTGCACTTCACTCTGGTTTACTGTATTTTGTTTTGCATTTTGTGCACACAAAAATGTAGATAAATCACCCCTCCTTTTGTTTGTCTGCAGCCGAAAAGGACCTTGTATCATGTACAGTGACTGGCTGACCAAGATGGCTGGGAAGGAGAAAGGCACTGCACGCTATAAGACTATGTACAGGTAAGTCTCATAGTTACGTACTTTTCAGGAAAACAGTTGGTAAGAAACATCTACAAAATGTTTTTGGTAGAATTTGCTGAATCATCTAAACCAAAATGTTCCAGGGACCATGTTGATTTTGATGAAATTCTGCCAGAAACCAGGTAGGGTTCCAACAGAATCCTGCCTTGTGTCCTGCCAGCTTTTCCATTCACGTCCTTGACAGCCCATCTAGTAGGCTGACACAGAGGAGAGAGCCTAAAAGCCCAGGATTACCAACACCAGCACGCCCCACCAGGTTGTCTGCCCCCAAGCCAGGGCTTACAGTGCAGCTGTGTGGAAAATGGTAACTCTGCTTCACCGAGAACTTCAAAATATTGGACTTTTGTTCCAAACTGGAGCTAAACCAATTTTTTAAAATCTCAAAATCCTCCACAAAATGAAATAGAGTATTCTCTGGCCTGCTGTAATACTGATCCTTGTAGGCAATGAAAGTTAGGTTCTGAGTTACTGATTATGAATGGTTGAAATTGGCATGCTCCTTGAATCATTCGCTGCATCTCTTGCTTTTTAATGGATATTTTTGATCTGTTCTGTGTGTGCTTGCTGAGGGATTTAAATTGCAGAGACACTAATGAGACCTACAGAGGGGATTGTCCAATTGTATTTTTAAGTTTCTGATTGTATTTCTGCATTAACATTGAAGCTTATCCCATTTATTTTATTTTCTCCCTGATTTCCACTGTATTGAATTGATACATTAGGAGATTTCACTCTGGGAATGGCTGCCTGGAAAATAGGTATTTTCTGTCTTCCTAGGAACAAACAACATTTTTTCATCTTTTTTCCTCTGAATTTGAGGAAACACTCTTTGTGATTGGTACAGAGTTAAAGAAAATGTTAGTGCTTTGATGTAAGAACCCAGATTTTCTTAAGTGTTATATCTTTTCATTGTACAGTTTCAGTAACTAGTGCATTCTGTTGTTGACTTGCAGTAGAGCTAATCGTACAGAAACAGTCCTGTCTTTCAGAAACAGGGAAACCAGTGTTCCAGGAGACCTTTTAAGGTGAGTACACTGTCCTTTACTGTGTGTTGTTTACAAAAGCTATATTAATGTTTGTTTCACAATATCTGACTTCTGTTTTTGTTAAGGAGAGCATTTGTTAAGATGAGTACAGCTCCTGAGGCCTTTCTATCTCTGCGATCCCATTTTGCCAGCTCTCATGCACTGATGTGCATCAGCCATTGGATTCTTGGTATTGGAGACAGACATCTGTCCAACTTCATGATTAATATGGAGACAGGTGGCATGGTGGGAATAGACTTTGGACATGCATTTGGTTCAGCGACGCAGGTATTTTTCCTCTAATCCTTTTCTGTTGACTACTCTATTGGGTGTCTTGGGGGCTGGCAGTATCTTAAGTGGATGGTGGTCAATCAATTACTTTATATTTTGTATTTAATTTAATTTAAAAGTATTTTATTTCTGCTGAATTTGATGATTACTCATACTTGACACCATAAATTAAGCAAATGATTCTAGTTAACACTAGAACAGAATCTTTTCCCGAATAACTTGTCTGATGCTAACAGGTTGATAAATTCTACAGTTCTATGTGGAGAGCAAAGTATTTTTTTAATATGGGTATCAGTATTTGATGCTTTTTGAAAATGAGAAGGCCTTGCTCATCCATGCTTTCAAACAGTAGTTATTGACAAATATTCATAGCCATAACTTTTACGCAAGAGCAATCTGGTTTCAGTGGGCTCCAAGTTATTTTCAGTTCACTAGTCAGCAATGTTTTAAGGTTCACACAAAAGACTTCTTTGTAATCCTTCAGTTTTAAGGTTTCTTAATTCATGGGTTTCACTTTTTCTTTGTTCTTGTGTAGTTTCTACAAGTGCCAGAGTTGATGCCTTTTCGTCTAACTCGCCAGTTCACTAATCTGATGTTGCCAATGAAAGAATCAGGTCTCATTTATAGTGTGATGGTACATTCCCTAAGAGCCTACCGCACAGACCCAGACCTCCTGATCAGCACTATGGACGTGTTTGTAAAAGAACCTTCCTTAGACTGGCAGGTAGATTTTTTTTTAATTTTTTTTTTGTTCTTTCCTTTTTGCCTTTCTGTTCATGTACAAAGTCTAAAGTTGATTAGTTTTGTCTTTGTTTGATCATTTTTCGTGATAGAACAAGGAAGTCTTTCCTAATAGTCAGCTTACATTTCCCTTGTATCTTTATCAGCAGCTTTATTGAGCTAGGGAATAATCTTTCAGAGGTACTGGCCAAGTTCTTGCAACATGTAAAATAAGACACCGATCTCTTACAGGGGTGAGAGATGGACTGGATAGAGTGATAGATTTTATCCATTTCTAATTTGTGTTGTTTAGTTTAATTTCTGTATTGAATGAGTGATCTTGAGATCTTCAAATGTTTATGGTGATTCATGCTATCACCCTATGTAGTATAAATACAGTATTTTCAATTTGTCAAACAGAGCAACTCTTAGTTTCATTTACAACATGCATTTCATACAATGTGCTGTTTATGAAAATACTTCAGAAACCAGTTACTGAATTATAAGTTTGAGTATAAATATTTTCAGACTACCTACAACCATATAGAATTTGCTAAATAGATGTAATTATGTGCAATAAATTATTCCTTAGTTTTAGAGGCAGCAAAACTTTGAGATTTCACTCAAGCAGGTCAAAGTAGAGCTTAAGAAGATGTCTTTTCCTATGTTCAGGTTAGCGTTGTTCATCCACTATACTGAATCTGCAGAAATACAAATGTTTGTCATATTTTCAGTTGCAAAGTAACTTAAGTCACAAACAGAAGTAAATTTCCTCTAAATATCCTGCCCTCCACTTTCTTTGCAACACAGGTTATTTGCTGACTTGTTCCTGAGGATGTGGGTGGCTGTGAGAATGTAGGAGAGGTTTAGGAGTATGGTTATCTGTCTAAAAAGAAAAGGAGTACTTGTGGCACCTTAGAGACTAACCAATTTATTTGAGCATAAGCTTTCGTGAGCTACAGCTCACTTCATCGGATGCATACTGTGAAAAGTGTAGAAGATCTTTTTATATACACACAAAGCATGAAAAAATACCTCCTCCCACCCCACTCTCCTGCTGGTAATAACTTATCTAAAGTGATCACTCTCCTTACAATGTGCATGATAATCAAGTTGGGCCATTTCCAGCACAAATCCAGGTTTTCTCACCCCCCCCAACCCCCCCCACAAACCCACTCTCCTGCTGGTAATAGCTTATCCAAAGTGACCACTCTTCTTACAATGTGTATGATAATCAAGGTGGGCCATTTCCAGCACAAATCCAGGGTTTAACACGAAGGTCTGAGGAGGGGGGGAGGGTGTAGGAAAAAACAAGGGGGAATAGGTTACCTTGCATAATGACTTAGCCACTCCCAGTCTCTATTCAAGCCTAAGTTAATTGTATCCAATTTGCAAATGAATTACAATTCAACAGTTTCTCGCCGGAGTCTGGATTTGAAGTTTTTTTGTTTTAATATTGCAACCTTTAGGTCTGAGATCGAGTGACCAGAGAGATTGAAGTGTTCTCCGACTGGTTTATGAATGTTATAATTCTTGACATCTGATTTGTGTCCATTTATTCTTTTATGTAGAGACTGTCCAGTTTGACCAATGTACATGGCAGAGGGGCATTGCTGGCACATGATGGCATATATCACATTGGTGGATGTGCAGGAGACTGAGCCTCTGATAGTGTGGCTGATGTTATTAGGCCCTGTGATGGTGTCCCCTGAATAGATATGTGGGCACAGTTGGCAACGGGCTTTGTTGCAAGGATAGGTTCCTGGGTTAGTGGTTCTGTTGTGTGGTATGTGGTTGCTGGTGAGTATTTGCTTCAGGTTGGGGGGCTGTCTGTAAGCAAGGACTGGCCTGTCTCCCAAGATCTGTGAGAGAGATGGGTCGTCCTTCAGGATAGGTTGTAGATCCTTGATGATTCATTGGGGAGGTTTTACTTGTGGGCTGAAGGTGACGGCTAGTGGCGTTCTGTTATTTTCTTTGTTAGGCCTGTCCTGTAGTAGGTGACTTCTGGGAACTCTTCTGGCTCTATCAATCTGTTTCTTCACTTCCGCAGGTGGGTATTGTAGTTGTAAGAATGCTTGATCGAGATCTTGTAGGTGTTTGTCTCTGTCTGAGGGGTTGGAGCAAATGCGGTTGTATCGTAGAGCTTGAGGAATTCCACCATGATTTCAACAATTTCCATCCCACTATCAACCTCAGCCTGGTCCAGTCCACACAAGAGATCCACTTCCTGGACGCTACAGTGCTAATAAACGATGGTCACATAAACACCACCCTATACTGGAAACCTACTGACCACTGTTCCTACCTACATGCCTCCAGCTTTCACCCTGACCACACCACACGATCCATTGTCTACAGCCAAGCTCTGCGATACACCCGCATTTGCTCCAACCCCTCAGACAGCCCCCCAACCTGAAGCAAATACTCACCAGCAACCACATACCACACAACAGAACCACTAACCCAGGAACCTATCCTTGCAACAAAGCCCGTTGCCAACTGTGCCCACATATCTATTCAGGGGACACCATCACAGGGCCTAATAACATCAGCCACACTATCAGAGGCTCAGTCTCCTGCACATCCACCAATGTGATATATGCCATCATGTGCCAGCAATGCCCCTCTGCCATGTACATTGGTCAAACTGGACAGTCTCTACATAAAAGAATAAATGGACACAAATCAGATGTCAAGAATTATAACATTCATAAACCAGTCGGAGAACACTTCAGTCTCTCTGGTCACTCGATCTCGGACCTAAAGGTTGCAATATTAAAACAAAAAAACTTCAAATCCAGACTCCAGCGAGAAACTGTTGAATTGGAATTCATTTGCAAATTGGATACTATTAACTTAGGCTTGAATAGAGACTGGGAGTGGCTAAGTCATTATGCAAGGTAACCTATTTCCCCTTGTTTTTTCCTACCCCCCGCCCCCCCCCCCGAGACATTCTTGTTAAACCCTGGATTTGTGCTGGAAATGGCCCAACTTGATTATCATACACATTGTAAGGAGAGTGATCACTTTAGATAAGCTATTACCAGCAGGAGAGTGGGGTGGGAGGAGGTATTTTTTCATGCTTTGTGTGTATATAAAAAGATCTTCTACACTTTCCACAGTATGCATCTGATGAAGTGAGCTGTAGCTCATGAAAGCTTATGCTCAAATAAATTGGTTAGTCTCTAAGGTGCCACAAGTACTCCTTTTCTTTTTGCGAATACAGACGAACACGGCTGTTACTCTGAAACCTGTCATTATCTGTCTAATTTATGATAAACGAATAAAAATATTTTCTCTTATTAGAATTTTGAATTGAAGCAGTTGAAAAAAGGCGGCACGTGGTCTAAGGAAGTAAACACAGCTGAAATAAACTGGTATCCCTTGCAGAAAGTGAACTATGCCAGAAGAAAGCTGGCAGGTTCCAATCCAGCAGTACTCACCTGGTAAGACAGTCTCTCCCTTGGATTTCCAAGTCCTTTAATAAGAACCTTTGCAGCTGAAAGAGTCAGGGACTTGTTACCTTCAGACTTAATGGGAGAAAAGGAAGACAAGGGGGCAATTTAATCATTTTGCTTCTTGGCAGAGTGAATTGTTTTTGTGTACAAAAGGTGTCTGAATCATCTTACCAGCCAAACTACCCCGTATCTATCTCCTGAGTGTCCTTGTTCCAGCTCCGTTTTCCTTTCTACTTCTGAGCATTTATTTTTCTTGGCAGCATGTGTGGCCACACCATGTAAGCCTAGTTATTTCCCACCCCTCACAAGCTGTTGCTCTTCATAAAGCTTTGCAGGTAGAGGTGGAATTTGAATGGACTCTACAAAAAAACAGTAGTCTAGCAGGAATGTTGAGGCAACTGTAAGGGAGGCATACAAGTAAATTAACTAGTTTAAATTGCCTAGGAATGTGATGGGCTACTGAGATTTAATCAGCTCAGTCAAGATTGGCTCAAGCTAGAAATCACAATATTTTAGTCTTTAAAATTCAATTAACCCCTTCTGTTTAAATTTGGGGTTGGTGCAATGAATGAAAAGCTTGTTTAAAATTATACAAATACTTTACAAATGGCTGAATAGGAAGGTGCAATTGGTATCATTCAGGAGAGCTGTGACAGCAACAGGTTTGATTGCCTTTAGGTTGCTGAGTGTGACAGAATGAGTGAGCTGTTTTCTGCTCTGGCCTCCATAGGTGAGGCAGACTTTGCAGAAAGCAACTGGCTGCCTTTTTTCAGATGAGCACTTGGCAGGTGAGGGAGGGGAGAAACAGTACAATACAAGTAACAGTTTGATTGAGAGGCTTATAGAAATTCTGTATATGTCTATATTGTATCTGAGAGCGAGATTCCCAGACTGGGCCCCCAGACTTGTGGTTTGCTCAAGTAGCTATGCAGATAGTGCTTTAACGGTGCGGCTCAGAAGCCGGGGCAGGGGTGGTTTTCAGAGCCCAAGCTGCTATGTCAAAGCACTGTCTCCACAGCTACTTCTAGCACATGAGTGCAAGCCCCCTTAACAGAAGTCTGTGGACTCAGTCTGGGAATCTTGCTCCCAGATGCAGTGTCGACATACCCTGTGAGATTTTCAAAGACTTGAGCTCAAGCTGAAGATGTTCATAGTAAATGCTCACAGATGAGGGAGGAACCTGAGATCACTCATTTAAGGACCTGATCTTGACTTGCTTAGCATTCTAAACACCTATTGAGTCAAGAACGCTCACTGTGACAAGTTCGGTCACAGAGACCCCCTTGGGACTGTCACCTGATGTGCAGGCCGACGCCTTTGTTTACATGTTAGTTTGAACCCTTTCCCAGGAAAGCTCAGATGTGGTTTGGTGTCTCCTAAAGTCCATTGTCAGTTAGGTGTTCCTTGATAGAACTATTCTCAGTAAGTGCCCATACTCAGAAAGCTGACCAAATACTTCCCTGAGGCTACTTAGAATCAAACAGATTGAGATACAAGTACATAGCCATTATTCATAACTTCAAATACAAAAATGATACACACATACAGGCAGCATAATCATGACCAGCAAATTACAACCTTTCTATAGACACCTTACCTTGACCTCCTTTGTACAAGATTTAGTCCAACTAGAGGATCTTGGTTGCAACAATGATCTATACGTCACAGTTCACGTCAATAACGGCACACTCACTACCTCATAGGATTAGGCCTTAAAGCTCTCATTTAAAAATAAAAAATCCAAGGCCTGGATTTTCAGAGTTTTCTTTTTTTTTTTCAGTGATGAATTACGACTGGGCCACGAGAAATCACCTGCCTACAGGGAATATGTAGCTGTAGCTCAGGGAAGCAGAGATCACAACATCCGAGCCAAAGAACCAGAGGATGGGCTTTTGGAAGAAATCCAAGTGAAATGCCTTATAGATCAAGCAACAGACCCCAATCTCCTTGGCAGAGTTTGGGAAGGATGGGAGCCCTGGATGTGAAAGAAAGGATATAAGGAAATAATCAAATGGAGTGTTCTCTAAGCCAAACCACTACTGTCAAGTTACTGTGTAGTGGGGAAGGAGCATGGATAGAAAAACAATTAATTTGTGTTTTCCACACTGGTAAGTCTGAACTGATTAAGGGTTGTGATACTGTGGTAGAACTTACTCAAAGATGACAATTATGAACCAATGTCTCTGTACTAGGAACCTGAAAGGAATATGGTAATTGTGCTGAAGGCTAAGGCCCATGATATTAAGCTATTGTATTTAATAGAAGAAACCACAAACAGAATAACCACACAAGCTTTGAAGAGATGTTTACATGCTGTATTAACATGTAAACATGTAATAACCACACAAAGAGTGATTAGATAAATGTCAACACATACAGCCTACTGAATGATACACATAGAAATCTCTCATTTTTAAAAGTAGCAGTCAGTTGCTATAATACCAGTTATGACTACAAAACAGCCTGTTTTAACAGTTATAGGAGATGTTTAGTAAGTTGACTGTATATTATAAAGATGTTTAAATTAATGCAAAACAATAAAACTGCAAAGTTTTCATGTTTTAAGAATCCTATTTAACAAAAGTGTTGAATCCATACCTGAAAACAGGCATTGCTGGCGTCTCTACCGTTTTCTGCTGTGAATGAGCTGGACAATGTAGTCTATTGTTTTCCAGTACTTGCTTATGAGGAGATTTAAGGTGGGAAAGTCTGACTTTAGTCACACCAAGAGCACGAGGCTCTATTGTAAAGCAGTTTTTTAGAGGTAACTTCTGTGCCAAACAAAGTGCAGCAGGTATTATATGGGGATGAATTACTGTCTTTCAAAATATTATGACTAGTTATTAACATGAATTCATTTAAGAAGACATTTCCCATTGACATTTTAATAATGCGTGATTATCATGGAGCAGTGAACAAGTATAAAATAACTTTAAAAAATGAAAAGCAAGCACCTTTGACTTCTCTGCAGCTGTAGGCTCTTCTTTGCAACTGTTATTAGTCATTTCAGCCCTACTCAGGGCTGCTTCTACACTGACTTCCTTTCCCTGGCATCAGTTTCAACCTGAAAGCAGACGGACCATCAGTCTCTCTGCTGGATAAGAACCTATAAGACAAATACGAGCTGGTAAATGTATAAAATAAAGCTAATGAGCATAAAGGGGATTGTTCAGAGTTGGAAACTGAGTGGCACAAAGAAGCAACAATTAAAATTTCTGGGAGGTTTTTTTCCCCCATCTAAAAATGTTTGACATTTTAACACCCTTTCTAGACCATAAATGCTAAGAGTTTTGCTTTGTTCACTTTGACTCAGTTCTAGCACTGTAAATCAATATCTCCGAATTCTTGGTCAACAGCATTTTGAATGAATACAACCGAGTCTGGGGCCATACTTGATCTTTATTGGGAAAACCATTGGCACAAAAACTCCTGGGTGCTGTACAGGAGGTTTGTCTATTAAAAAATGAAAACATAAGCTGTAGAATAAGTAATAGCTCATTTCTAAATTAGTAGTTTTAGGACACTTACTCACTAAAGAAGCTAAACTGCTCTTTTCCACTCTTAAATTGCAGGGCACTATATATGCAAAGTTGTTTTTTTTTGTCCGCTGCAACATGTGCAATGTAGTAATGTGCTTTATATACTCACCTTTTTATGATTCTTCTGAATGCATTTTGCTCATTTTTATCTTTGATATTAATAAAGGAGACAACATGACTTAAGGCTGTCTGTGTGGAAGAACTGTGTGTCTCGCCAAGGCCACCTTATTCTAAAGTCATAAAGCACAGTTGTCATAACCATACAGCTAAAGGTAGCCTGTAAGGGGTTAAGAAGCTCAAATAACCTGGTTGGCACCTGACCAAAAGGACCAATGGGGAAAGAAGATACTTTCAAATCTTCGGGGGGGTGGGAGGAGGGCAGGCTTTGTTTGTGGGTGGGGGGGGGTGTATGTGTGAAAGCCGAGAAGCATCAGGTCAGAAAACTCCTCCTAAAATCATCCAAAAATAAGTCTCAAATTGCAAAAAGAGTAAGTAAATAAGGCAAGGTGCATTAGATTTATCTTTTGTTTTTAGCTTGTGAATTTTCCCTGTGCTAAGAGGGAGGTTTAGCCCTGTTTTTTGTAACTTTAAAGTTTTGCCTAGAGGGGAATCCTCTGTGTTTTGAATCTGATTACCCTGTAAAGTTACCTTCCATCCTGATTCTACAGAGGTGCTTCCTTTCCTTTTTTTTTTCTTATAAAGTTCTGTTTTTTAAGAATCTGGACTACCTGTTTGGTAGGTAGATTATTCTCAAGCCTCCCCAGGAAAGGGGGTGAAGGGCCTTGGGGGGATATTTTAGGGAACAGGAACTCTAAGTGGTCCTTTTCTTGAATCTTTGTCTAACTCACTTGATGGTGGCAGCAGTACCCATCCAAGGACAAGGAAGGATTTGTGCCTTGGGGAAGTTTTTAATCTAAGCTGGTAGAAATAAGCTCAGGGGGTCTTTCATGCAGGTCCCCACATCTGTACCCTAGAGTTCAGAGTGGGGAGGGAATCCTGACAACAGTAAAGAATCATAGAATATCAGGGTTGGAAGGGACTTCAGGAGGTCACCTAGTCCAATCTCCTGCTCAAAGCAGAACCAATCCCCAACTAAATCATCCCAGCCAGGGCTTTGTCAAGCCTCACCTTAAAAACCTCAAAGGAAGGAAATTCCACCACCTCCCCAGGTAACCCATTCCAGTGCTTCACCACCCTCCTGGTGAAAATGTTTTTCCAAATATCCAACCTAAACCTCCCCCACTGCAACTTGAGACCATTACTCCTTGTTCTGTCATCTGCTACCACTGAGAATAGTCTAGATCCATCCTCTTTGGAACTCCCTTTCAGGTAGTTGAAAGCATCTATCAAATCCCCCCTCATTCTTCTCTTCCGCAGACTAAACAATCCCAGTTCCCTCAGCCTCTCCTCAGAAGTCTTGTGTTCAGTCCCCTAATCATTTTTGTTGCCCTCCGCTGGACATTTCCCAATTTTTCCACATCCTTCTTGTAGTGTGGGGCCCAAAACTGGACACAGTACTCCAGATGAGGCCTCACCATTGTCCAGTAGAGGAGAACGATCACGTCCCTCCATCTGCTGGCAAGGCCCCTACTTATACAGCCCAAAATGCCGTTAGCCTTCTTGGCAACAAGGGCAAACTGTTGACTCATACCCAGCTTCTCATCCACTGTAACCTCTAGGTCCTTTTCTGCAGAACTGTTGCCTAGCCATTCGGTCCCTAGTCTGTAGCGGTGCATGGCATTCTTCTGTCCTAAGTGCAGGACTCTGCACTTGTCCTTGTTGAACCTCATCAGATTTCTTTTGGCCCAATCCTCTAATTTGTCTAGGTCCCTCTAATTTGTCTACCTCTCCTCCCAGTTTAGTGTCATCTGAAAACTTGCTGAGGGTGCAATCCACACCATTCTCCAGATCGTTAATGAAGATATTGAACAAAACCGGCCCCAGGACTGACCCTTGGGGCACTCCACTTGATACTGGCTGCCAACTAGACATAGAGCCATTGATCACTACCCATTGAGCCTGACAATCTAGCCAGCCTTCTATCCACCTTATAGTCCAAGAGTCACATGACTTCTGAACTGAACTCAGCTTTTCAAGTGGCTGACTCCAAGGAGGTGTTAAATTGCCCTTTTTGCACATTCCTCTTATACTTGCTGAGTACTTTGACCTGTAAAATAGATAGTGTAGGCTTACAGTTTAACCAGAGTTTTTCATATAGGAGTTTTGAAGCTTTCACAAGGAATTTGCAGTTTTCTGACTAGGCACTGCAATTTTTATTTTTTTTGAAAATTGGACACTTAAGTTGCCCCAACATTCTCAGAAGGGGTTTGTATAAAGGATTCTGTAATGGGACTTTTGAAGTGAGAGCCAACACCCAATGCCATTGTCCCAGCCAGCCACACTTTTTCAAGGGAAAGGAAGTTGTGATGAATGTGGACTGCTAGTGCATCAGGGGAGGGAAAAATAGACCACCAAAAAGATATACATACCTGTTCTGAGTAGTGTAAGAGCTTGAGAGTTACCAATGGAAGCCTTTGATGTAGCCCAGCTGCTGAAACACTCACTAATTGTCCAAGGGCACCAATTTATCATGTGCTTTCTACCTCGATGATTATTTTTAGATATAAAAGTGAAGTCTGATTTATAAGCAACAGACCACTCAGTCCTATGAGTGATGTATACGGATACTACTCTAGCTCACTATGACAGCCACTTCCTCCATGCAGGAATTAACCCATCCAAGCTGAAGGTTTTAATAAGGTTATTTATATTTTCACTGGCACCACCTCCAGGCCATTGACTTTACTAAGTTATCCAGTCAGGAATACACCTCTGAGACTTCACTATCTAGTTGTAAAGGTCTGTTAAACCAACCCCATCATTTAATCCTTTCAACTGTTGTGCTGTACTGAGTTGCAGCTCTATATCTAAATACATACATGTCAAAAACAAAGACTAAATGCCAGGGCAGAGGCTAACAGACAAATAACATGGAGCAACAGGCAAGGTATGGGAAGGTGCTGACACAATGACAACCTCAAAAAGGAAGGTTTTTTTCGTAGAGTGAGTTTTCAGAAGAAGGCAACAAGAACCTATTTGGCACACAGGAAGTGGGAGACCGTTTCAACTGGCTTAAAAGAAGGTGATAAATAGAATAACTGAATAATTAGCCACAAAGTTTGGGTTAACAAAAATATTACCTATTCTTACATTGAACTGGTTAAAACAAGCAGATACACTAGATTAACTAAAGAAAAATACATTAATTGAATGCAGGAAATTATACAAACAATTGGAATAAAAAAATACAAATTCTGCTGAATAACTAATAAAAATAAACTACTTAGAATATGTAAATACTCCTGATCACACATTCTTTGGAGGGAAAAAAAAACCCCATCAATCATCTTTCAGCATTGCTCTGCTGGTTTGCAATTTGGGATACTGTTCCATCCCCTTAAAAAAAAAAAAAAAAAAAGACACCATTGTCCATGACCAACTCCAGCATCCTTTCCTAGAGATTACTGATGAAGTTCACATTCTTCTCACACATCAGCACTATCTTTCCCCATCCTAACTTAAGCTATGTCTATACTACAGATGTTACAGCAACAGAAGGGTTTTTTCTGTCACTTTATTTAATCTATCCCTCCAAGATGTGATAGCTAGGTTGATGGAAGAATTCTTTAGTTGACCTCGCTTAGGTCAACTTAACTATGGCTCTCAAGGGTGTGAATTTTTTCACACACTCCAACTGACATAGCTAGGTACACCTCAGTTTTACGTGTAGACCAGGCCCTAGATCTGAGTTGTTAGGTGTTTGCACCTTGCTTTCCTCATATATATCCCAAGGAACCTGCAAGGTGTTCCAGAGCAGAGTTTGTTTGGTTACTGTGTCTGTTATAGGGTAAAGGCCCCTTCAGCAACTAGTCTGCCCTCATGCTGAAGGGTTTGGTTAGAAGCTCCACACAATTAGATAAAGCAGCTTTATTGAAGGAATGATATTCTTTGAGAACCCTGTCCACAAACTTACTTTATGCATAATCTTGAATATGCTAAGGATTGTTACCCAAATATAATTGCTCTAAAACTTATTCAACGTTGTAGTTGCTAACCCATGACCAAGGGTGTGGGACTATCGTCTGAGTCAGTCCATTGCTGCTAATATGACTGGCTATGAAAAGATGTAGATATGAAATGTATACAGAAACTTTGACACTTTTTAAAAAGCAACTAAGCAAAAATACAATGACCATCTAGCCTGGGGAGTGGGGTGTCAGTAACAGCAGAACTCAGAGGCATTTTAGTGTATTACATAAATGTTGTTTATCTGTTCTACTGTCAATAGAAAGATATGGTGTCTGGAAATACAAATATTTCATTTTACAGCAACATTTTAACTCCTGTTTCCATTTTACTTAAATATTCTTCCTATTGCAAGGTGCTGCTTTTCCTAGGACTTACTACCTTGCTTTCAAGCAGATGGCATAGCTATTTTGCATTCATCAAACAATGTTAAGATTTCAATC